CAGTTTCTCCACCAGGTTGAAGCTGAAGATGCTATTCGGACTCTTCTCAGGCTTCTTGCGCTGCAGCGGAGGCAGTCCTGAAGCCCAATCAGCAAAGCTATCCAAGCGGTAGTGCCACAGTGAAACCGAGGGAGAAGAAAAGCAAGAGGAGAGGCTTGGATCCTTAATAACTCGGGGTGGGGACACGAGCGCCCCTCCTGGGCTCTGTGCAGAAATGCCTTGCTTTGTCAGGAGAGTCACCAGTCCAAGCTCTTTCTCTTTCTTCTCCTGCCTGCGTCGAGGGGAAGACGGGCTCATCCCCATGCAGGGCCCACAAGAGGGCACAACTGTATTATAAAGACTAAGGAGGAGGAGAAGGAAGGGGGGGAAAAAAACCCAAGCATTTAGTCTAAAGGCTTTAATATGTTTGGGTTAGGTGCTTAATTGCAAACATACATTCCATCCCACCTTGATTTGTTCTGCAACAGCCTCTCAATCTGTGCAGGCTGGGAATTCTGGCAACTGGGAAGTTTCCTTCGCAGAAACTCTTTAGAGCAATGTCTAAATAACATGGTATTTTCTCAACCAGGTGCAGATGCCCGTGATTACTTGGGCCCTGAAAATAGTAATTTTCTATATCAAATAAGAAAGGAGCACATATAATGGAACAAACCAAATGGAAAAAGCGGCTTACTCCGCCCCCTTCCGTTCAGTTTTGCAGGATGTGGGCTTGTGCTCCTTTTCCACAAATTCCTCCTGCTGGTGCATAGGAAAAGAGAGTTGCCCTAATATTTTAGGGCTTGACTGAGTACCTTCTTTTCTAATTATATCAGCAGCATTTTTTAAAAAAATACTTTTTGCTTTCCTCTCAGCTAATTGAGGAGGCTTCTTTCAATTCATATGGGCAGTGGCTACCTCTGCTTGTGCCCTTGAGGCTGGCTGAGAACTACAGACTGGCCCTTTAAGGCCCAATCCACTACAATTTTATTTTTAATTGGGCCTTCTGCAAAACAAAAGAAGAGTCGGAACTAGCACAGCATCTGAAATCAACAGTACCATGTCAACCATAACACACACTTTTCAGCACTCTCATGTGCTACAGGTGGGCGGTCTTCTCTAACCTGGCCCCCTTCAAGTGTGTGGGGACTACATTTCCCAAAATTCCTCAGCCATGCCAAGACTGCAGCAGCGCTGCTTTCTAAAACCAGGCACCTGTTCTTGGTGTCCAGGAGGAAGATATTTCCATCTTGGTACCTGATAGAAAAGATGTTGAAGACAGAAAAGCTCTGATCCATCTATTAATATTATTGTGGCTCCTAAGATTACTACCAATTTAGGGGTTTTTTTCCATCAAGGCCACAGGTGGGGAACTACTGGCTATTCAGCCCTTCAGTGACTAATATTTTTTTTACAAACATATTCACACATATATACTTAGGGCAGTGGTGGGATTCAGCCGGTTTGCACCACTTCGGCAGAACCGGTAGCTAATGTTTTGTTGCCCAGGCCCAGAATGAACTTCCGGAAGCGGCATCCACACAGAGAACCAATTGTTCACATATTTGAATCCCACCTCTGACCTAGGGGATACTAAAAATTAGGCCACATTGACCATTGTATAAATTACATTAAATATAGTGTACTTTTTTCTAACAACTTTCTTACTTCTTTGACACATGTTTCAGCTGAAACATTTTCCCTTAAAAAATATCAATTACTATTTTATATTGAGGGGATGCTTACCACTGGAGGTAGGTGATAGGATAAGAAGACCTCATCCCTGTGCCATCTGTCTCTTAATTTTGAGTTTTGTCTCATTTTTAAATTTTTAATCTGTGTAGTTTTAATATTTTAACAAATTGTAATTATTTTCCTATTTGTTTTGAAGCCTGTAAGCTACTTAGAGGCACCTTATAGGAGAGATAGGTGTTAAGAAATAATAAACATATTGTGATTGGCCTATGAGGCCTGGCTTCTGGTTCACCCTGTATATCTTAGCTATGAAAACCAGCTGCATTACTGGGGCTGGTCACTCTCTCTCCGCCCACTCCACCCTACAGGGTTGTTGTTATGGGGAATAAAGGAGGAGGATGGTGCATTGGATATGTTTGCTGCCTTGAGATTATGTGTAAAAACAATAAAGGCAGGATGCAATAAAATAAATAATCAATAGGTTCCAGTTGTTTGGATTTTCTTTTTTTTGCATAGGTTCTGAAATAGGCTTTGTGTAATGAAATACACAAATTTAGAGAAGATGTTCCAGGCCCAGATATGACACCACCACTGACATCATTTTCCACAGCAGAATGTCTCTTTGCCACCCTTCCCCAAATATTAAATGTGGCCCCTGCCAACTAAAGGTTGCCCATTTTTGCTCTAGGAAAAGCTGTCAACAGCATTAGTTTTGAGTTTGTTAGCTATCCATTTTTATTTTTCTGAGGATAGGATCAGCTGAAGACATAGCATTGAAAGTCAGCATCACAAATTTCATTTCAGTTAGTTTGCAGAAAGGTTGGCAGCGAAGTCTGCAAAAAATTAGTGGGTTAAAATCTTGCTTTCCCAGACAGGCCGAATTTAGTTGCACATTTCAACCGCCTAGGATGGCTGCTGGGTTTGCAAACTGCTATAGCTAAGGCTACAGTGAGATTGAGTAGCATATGGTTCCGTGGAAGTCTCACTATTGTTTATTAATTAAATCATAATATGGTGATCTGAACACAGCAGTTGGATTTTGTTGACCTGGGTTGAAAGTTTAAGCTTGTCATATACAATCAATCACAATGTTGTGGATAAATTCATAAGTCTCCTTGTAATCCAGGATTATAAGAGCTGTAGTCCAATATTTTCTAGTGAGTGACTGAGAAAAACTGACTTAAATAAGCCCCTTCATTCATTTCCTTGTTCTTTTCTTACAATGAGCTGTTAGGAGAATGGAGACCCATATGCTTTGCTTATCACCCAAATCCTCATCAAAACCTTAACATTAACCAAACAAAGAGAAAGATCTCCAGAACAGAGGAAGGCCGTTCATTCAATGGGGAAGATAAAGGGAGAGAGGTTCAGAGCAACTAAAAGCCTCTGAAGAAGTATGTGAGCAACTGCATCCAACATTAATGTTGATTAAAGGCAGATGCCTATGTTTCATTACCCCACAATGACTTTTTATGGGCTTCCCAGAAGTTGGTTTTTTAGCCAGGGCTTCATCAGGGCCAAGCCTCAGCTGTCACCAGTTGACAATTAAGCAAGATGCCCCTAAGCATATGCAGAATACTATACAGTATGTTTGTATGTATGCATGTATGTATGTGTGTGTATATGTGTGTGTGTATATGTGTATATATATGTGTATGTATATGTGAATATATATGTGCATATATTTTAGATTTTGCTGACAAAGAATTAAAGGGAGACTAGTATAGCTATTTCGACAATAGCAGATTGCTCCATCCCATATTTGGGTAAACCAGGTGCTCTGTTAGACCGGTTTCACTGGAAAAACACTTGATATATGTGTGTGTGTGTATACATATACGTATATACATATACACATATACATACACAGATAGATACATAGATACACACACACAAACACACACACACACACACAAATTGGTTGCTTATCATGCCAATTTTCTGGGCAGGCTTGATTACCAGAACTCATTTTAAATCTACCCCAGCATTAAAGTGTTATAACTTCCTCTTCCCAGGTCAATGAACTTTCATTCTCTTATTTCCTGCAAGGCCTTGCTCCTCCCTGCAGCCATTATCCAATGGGCTTGGGTCCTCTTTTTCCAACCCAGGGTCACCCAGGAGGAGATGAATCAAAGAGGGAAGTTCTGCTGCTGGATGGAGAGAAAGGAAGAAGCAAGCAAGATATCTTACTTCAGGTCTCCCATCCATGTGCCCAGAAGTTGCCCATATCAGGAGAAATGCCTAAAGCCAGGATTTGACAAGGAGGAATGGGGAGAATGCAAGATAAGAGGTAGAAAACAAAAATCACAGACGTGCACATACACATCCTTTATGTAGGAAATGGCCTTCCCATGTAGGAGAAGGAGAGATGGCTGGAAAGCTTTAAGGGAAGGGCAATAGGATGCTTACCTGGGTGTCACCATGGTAACCTCTTTGATAGGGTGCATGATGCAACAGGTGGTGATGGTGAAAGTAGGCGGGGTCTGGGGCAGATTGTTAACGGAGTGAAAAACTAAACGGGACAGGAAAACAAAGGGTTAATGAGTGAGCAGAATGGGATGGGAGTCATGAAGGTGGACAAACATCAAGGGAAACAGTGGAGGGAAAAGCTTCTATGAACAATAGGACATTACATTTCATCCAATTTGTCTGCAATGATTCATAGCCTCCAGCTGGAAAAGATGTGGGGAACCTGTGGCTCCCAAGATTTTACTCAACTACGACTCCCAACATTCCTCCCTGTAGATTGTCTGCAAAAGTAAAGCAGTGTTTCTAGATCTCAACAACTTTAAGATGCATGGACTTCAATTCCCAGAATTACAAAGCAATTACATTGCCGGCTTCATTATTCTGAGAATTAAAGTTCATATATCTTAAATTTGTTAAGGTTGAGAAACACTTAACTAGAGGAGTATAGCTTGTCCAGTAGGAAGCTACACCTGGAAGTCTTCTCTCACATTCTTGTGACCCCACCTGATTCACTGCCACAAGAACATTGCCAAAGCACCCATGGTATCTACTAGTAATGCTGAGCTGGACCTCACCAACAGGCACATATTCCAACTATCACAGGGCAAAAAATCATGATTGCTTTCCTGCAGGAAAGATGAGGTGATGCTTACTAACTTTCAGGATTTCCTCAAATCCTCAAAGACAAGCTGATGCATACCATTTGGAGTGATGCAACTCAGCCCACTCACCAGTTGGCCTTTCTTTGGCTTTAACAGTTGTTGAGGTAGCAAGAGAAGCCAAGGCGCTGCCATCCATCTCATCTTCTTCTAAGTCATTTAGATTATGGACCTCTTCAAGATCAGTATCAAGCTGGCGGAAATCTTTGGTAAGTACACCTGGTCGAGGGTCCAGGATTCCTGCCAGGTGAGGCCGGGCCAGCTGCTGCCAGTGGTGCAGGGTCACAGAACCTAAGAGGAGGCACAGAGGTCTATGTGAGTTTATTGGATCCATTGGCAAATCCCAGCAAAAATCATTTGCAGCAGGTCTAAACAGAAGTAGGGGGAATTGCAAGCCAACATTACAATGAGAAATAGAAATTTCCAAACTACGTGGATAACACATGAAAGGCAGGAGGGAATCCTGTAAGTTTTAAGCCTCATGCTGGACACCTAGTCCAATCTTATTATCTGCAAAGAACAGCATGCCCTGGTCCCTTCTGACATGGCCAATCCTATTGCTAGCCTACCTTCAATGATGATAGAAATGGGAGTCTAACCAGTACAATATTAAATTGCCAGTCCAACTGGTTGTTACGGATGGGAACAAGGTGCCCTCTTGCTCTTTCCTTCATGCAGCTAAATGTTTAGGGATGGCTCTAAACCATGGGTGACAAACTCAATCGCATCACATGACATACCGTGATGTATCGCGATGTTTTTTGCCTTTGCAGAACTGGGCTGGGTGTGGCCTGTGCATGATGCATCTGACACGTGGACTGCCAGTTTAACACCCCTGCTCTAAACAAAGGAAATATTCCAAACAAGGCAGAAAAATGGACTGCATTGAAGTCCCTCAGGCAGTCTGAACTACAGTTGTCATAGAGTCACTGTCTTGAGTTCTTTTAAACTATACCTAATTTGATGAGTTCAAGACACCAAAAGACCTAACAGCAAACCCGAGCACTCAAATACTATTTATCAATCTTTATTATGGTGAAGACAAGCAATTTACTCATTACTGTCCACTCTTCCCCAATACTGCTACAACTCCTGCTAGTATACACCTGCTACTCCAACTATTTTTCCTTGTGAGTATTGCTAGAGAAAAACAGCTCTTCTAGCTGCTTTACTTCCACATACCTTCAGTTATTTCACAGTAAAGCTTTAATAGTTTATCTTGCTATGCTGACTCAGGAGAGGCTTAAATAGAAAGGAAGAAAGCAGCATATATGCTGGCCATTTTTTGGGTAGCCTACTATCTCACATGCCTCACTTTTTTAATTAAAAAAAAACCAACCTTGATTTCACTGCCTTTTCCATACTGTAATAGGAAATCAGTGTTGCACCCAGTATATAATATTGAAATGGTAAGATTGTAGTGTCAGATATTATTATTATTATTATTATTATTATTATTATTATTATTATTATTATTATTATTATTATTATTATTATTATTATTATTATTATTATTATTATTATTATTAATTGCATTTATATCCCGCCCTTCTCCTTTCGGACTCAGGGCGGCTGACAGATTAGATAAAAAGCTAACATAAATACATATTACACCTAATTAAAAATT